TTTTTTTTTTTTTTTTTGCCGTTACAGTTCAAAGCTAGGAAATGTTTGATATGATGGGCCAGGAAGTTTTTTCTTTGCGATTTAGAAGTCCTAAATTAGAACAGGGAGTTTTTATTAGTTTGTTCGTTTCCGTTTAAGTACTGCAGAAGAAATATTTGAGGTAAAAATTAAAATGAATTAAGGATTTCTAAAAGCTGAAGCGCGATAAAAAATATACGTTTTCTCACTACAGAACAATATACTTCATCTTAAGAAAATTGGAGTTGAAAGGAAACACAAGAAGGTTTTGAACAGGGCGTGGCGAAACATGGATTTCAGGGTTGCAGCAAGAACTGTAGCAGTAGTGCTGATAGTTTTCAGAAGTACGAGAAATTCAGTAGCGGCAATTATTTCCTGTGAACTTTTTGAGTGAGGTAAATTCAAATAGCGTCGCTGAATTTGGACAAATTTTTTTCTGGCAAAAATGTTTTTTGGTGCTGTAAATTTCAACAGTTAGAGTTTTTGTGATTTCGAATATTTTAAAGTGAAAAAAGTTGTTTTTATTTTAACGAAGCTGGTCTAGAAGCAGATTTTCATGCTGTCTATTGCTTGAGAAGGAAAACATTCGAAATGGCTAGCGCTTCTTAAAAATTGGAAGACAGTTTTCGCCCTGCTCACTCAGTTTTCATTCTCCTTTACCCTGCGTGTGGGAAAAGAGCCGTTTTCTGGACACTGCTGATTAATAAAGAATGATGACGTTCTGAGATGAAGTTTTTCATTAGTTTTATTATTTTTTACTAGTAGCGTTATTCTCTGGATACTGTTGAATTCTGACTGTCATTCGAAACTTCGGGGCTTGTTATGGGAGCGGGTGGTTAAGTAGCAGGAGAGAGAAGATATGAAATAATTTGTTGGGCTGAATTAAGGGGTAAGGTTTTTTAGAAACTGTTGGTTGCTTTTATGGACAGATACGTTCGAAACCGGAAGGAAACCTGAATGAAAAGGGAAAGAATGACTTTAAAAAGCTTTGGTAATGCCTGCTTTAGTCACATTAGATTAAACGTGGGGAAAGTATGGTTTATATGACAGGCGGTGCCGAAATTTAGTGGTAGATTTCCTTTAAGCGGTATTTCTAAATTCATAAAAAGTTACGCTGTGTTTTCTTTGCTTTTGCACTTATTTTTGAATATAACAGTAATGCGAAATTTTTCGCTGTTGAAAAATGTTACCTTACAGTTAGTTGATTTTTGGTTCGGCAAAATATTAAACATTTTTTTTTAAATATTACCTTTTTAGTGGGATGGATGACCGGACACAGATTCGTGGTGAAACATCTACAGCTACGCTGTATGGTGGACTTTCCGTGAACGACCTTGGAGCGAATGTTGTTACATTACCTTCTCTAAGTAACGGTTCGGCATCTGGAGTTTCTAGACTGGATGATTCTCCTTTGATTTACGGTGAGAATTCAGACATATTTTTTTGTTCATGCTAACGGTTTCTATCTTTTATTTTCTTTCTTTTTGTGTCTTCGCTCTTTTTATCCTCGTTTTGTGTGATAATTTACTTTGCATCATTTTTGAAAAAAGGTCACGATGTTCATAAATTACTTTCTTGGTTTATCTCACGATTTTTCCCTCACATTTTCACTCTTCTTTGCTTTACGGTCAATTATCTTTGTATAATGAGAAGTGCTAGCGCTTTTTTCGAGATTTTAATTTTTTAAGTTTAAATCGGCAAATATTAAATAATCAAAGAAAGACATATTCGTTTTGGTTTTTTAATGTCTTTATAGATTGCATTGCGAGTCAGAGCCGGGACGCTAGTATTGAAATTTTGGCTTCTGTTTCCTTTAACACGTGTCTTCGTTTGTGAAGTTAAAGTGTTTAACTATGTCTCTTCAATAAACATGTTTTTTTAGATTTACTTAGGGAAAGGAAAAAGAAACGAAAACATTTTTTTGCTATTAAACATGCGAAATTTAGGTTCTTGTCTCTTCAGACATTTAGCTCGGTACACTAAATAATTTTTTCATCCAGGTGGCCCTATTCTTGGAAAATGTTTCCTTTCCGAATTTTAACCTTTGAACAAATTAATGGCTTTTTGAGAGCGATTTTTTTTTTTTTGAAAGAAGTTTAGAATTCTTGATATTTGTTAATGCTCAAAAATTTGGACTGTGTGATGAGACAAGTGCTCTTCTGTAGGTGAGACACCAGAATCGGTTGGGTCTTGGCAGTTTTGCAAGGCAAATTCAATGAAATACTTAGCAGTCGAAAAAGATGTATTAAGCGAAGTTTGCTGTTATTAGGTTTGAAAAGTCTAGAAATGTATTTGTTGGTGTTAAAGAAGTGGTGCTGATTAGTCAGCATCGTTATAGAATGTAATCAGTGGACTCTGATTTTTCTAAAATTGTCAGCTTTTTGTTCATGTTAATCTGAGCAAAAAAAGAGCGTTAGATAGGTTCAGTTATTTTGTTTTAGATGACGCAGTGTCAACCGGTAACACTTATAATCGGAACAGTATCAGCACACATCGTAAGCTTTTTTTTTTTTTTGCTAATTTTCTGTTTTCAAAATAAATTTTTATTTTTCTGCATTCTTTGTCTTTGTGTAGATATGGATTGCAAATGGATAAATACAATATGTTCACTGTTTGCCTTTTTGTGTGCACCTGAAAAAGGACTTTTCAGCTTCAGTTGAGCTCGGAAGTATTGCAAGGCCTAATGGTCTGTCGACTGTTTCTGGTGTATTTACTCCAGTGGCCATTTCCATGTTCAGCGTTCTGCTCTTTCTACGGATGGGTTTCTTTTATTAATTCATTTGCGTACCTTTTTTGCAATTTTTAGTTTAATTTTTTTTTATTTTTTTTTATAACTGAAATTCAGGTTTTGTCGTTGGACAGTTGGGCTTCTTAGCAACGGTTGGTCAATTGTTGTTGGCTTACATGATCGTTATGCTTACGGTTCTTTCCCTGTGTGCGATATCCACAAATGGAGCAATTGAAGGGGGAGGAGTTTACTGTAAACTTAAAGTGCTTTCTCAAAACTTTTTGTTTATTTAGGATTTTTGGCAAGTTTGTTTACCATATTTATTTCGCCATCAGTAAATCAAGGTTTTTAAGTTTTTTAGATATGTTGAGCCGTTCATTGGGTCCGGAATTTGGTGGAGCAATTGGTGTTCTTTTTTTCACTGCAAATGTCTTTTCCTGCGCACTATACATTTCTGGTTTCACTGAAGCGCTCTTGAATAATCTAGGCGAGGGACGTAAGTTATTTAAAGTAGGATAAATGGTAACGGACTATGTGTATTTTTATTTTCTTTTTATTTGATTTAGTACTTTTACGTATTATTTCTTAGGTGTGCCGACAAGTCCAACGTGGCAGTTTATGTGTTGTGTTCTTGTATCTATTATTCTGCTAATTTTCTGTCTTCTCGGAGCTGGCATTTTTGGGAAAAGCGCTTTCTTGACATTTTGTGTTATATCTACCTGTTACTTTACTTATGTTCTCTCTGTATTTATTATGTCTCCTAAGGATGTCCCGATTCCTAAAACTAACGAGTTTGCTTACCTTGTATGCTTTTTAAGTTTGTTCACTTCACTCTGGTCATTTGGTTGGCACTGTATTAGTTCCTATTATTTTTCTTGTGCTTTATCCTATTTATGTGATGTGCGTATTCCAGGTCCCTTCGAACAGTACAGATCCGTCCTCTGAGAAAGTCCCAGATTTTACTCAAAATCTGACTGCTCATTACACAGGTTTCCGGTTAGCAAATCGTTTTGCTATTTTTAGATTTGGTATTTTACTTAAGTGACTTCTATTCGTTTTTCTTTTGGGCTTGTTAAGTATCAGTTTTGTAGCTTTGATTATCAGAAAATAATAATCATTTGTTTCGCACAGTTTCTCCACGTTAGCTAGCAACATTTTGTCTAACTACACAGTCGACTATACCACTCTGAAAGTAATGGATTTTCCAATTATGTTCGCAGTTATTTTCAGTGGTGTTACAGGTACTTTTAGATAAAAAATGGCTCACATTTTTTTGTACTTTTGAACGGTATTTTTTCGATTTTATTTAAAAATTTAATAGGTAGTTGCATGTTCAAAGTTTTCAAAAGACAGAAAAAGCCACTAAATTTTTATGAGTGTTAGCTCTGTTCTTTAATGAATTGACAAGAAGGGCTTTCAAATTATTCTAAATTTAGCAATGATCAAAATTGAAAAAATTTGCAGTTCTGATTTCAATTGGTAAGAAGAATAGAGAGTTTTTTTAGGTTTAATGGCTGGAGCGAATATGTCGGGCGAGTTAGCAAAACCTTCTGTTTCTATTCCGAAAGGAACTGTTCAAGCTGTCCTATTCACTCTTGGTGTTTATATCATAACAGCTTTTACAACTGCTTCCACATGCAGTCGGTATCTTCTTCACAACGATTATTCGGTAATTTTTTTTGTGTCAGACAGGTTTCTAGCTATTTTTTAGAGCTTTTAATATCATATTAAATTAGTTTTTCGGCAGACTTATTTTACTACTTATTTGTGAATTTTGAATTTTATAGGCATGTTTCAAAAATACTCTCAGTTGTTTAATTATTGGTACTGAAGATATAGTAATATTTTTTTGATTTGAAAGATAACTCAGTAGCTGTAGAGTTGCAAGAAGTAGATTTTGCTTCATTGACGGTAATTAAAGGTAGGCTACGAGTAATTCTGACTTTTTTGGTAAGTGGTGGTTTTTCGTTTGGTGTTTAAAATGTGTAGCGTAGAACGCTAAAATTTATTCTTCTCTACCTACATTTCTATTACCGGATTTTAACTTCAGTGATTCTTGTAAGAATCAGTGAGGCGTGGCTGAAATAGTGTGCATTTTTGAACCAGCGATTCTTAAGTTTTCCGATATTGCTTCCTGGACACGACGGAAGCCTTTTAAACGCTAATTGAAGTGTTAGGAGGGGGAATAAAAAGAAACATCTGTTGAAAATACATTTTTAGAATCTCTCGGTAATTGATCCGAAATACCGTTTTTCTTCAAGAAGTGAACAGTGGGTATCGCTGTGCTTTGTGTTGGTTTTGTGGAGATGCGTTATTTTATTTGGGAACGTTGGGGTAATTGATTATTAAATTTCTTTTTGAATATAACTGGTATTTGAAGGTTATGGCTGATGTAAATTTGAGTCCGTGGTTTATATTTATCGGTATCTTTTTTACGACATTTTTTTCATCGATGAGTAACTTAATTGGCTCTTCTCGTGTGTTAAATCGTCTTGCTCATGACAAGCTCTTTGGATTTTTACTGCATCCAGCAAAGATTGAGATTGCTTCTGGTAATCCGGTAGTTTCAGTCTTGATTACATGGGTCTGTGTTGTGGTGAGTTAGCAGAGGTTTATGTATTTTTATTGTTTTGTTAGAAGGATAAAGTGGGGATGATTTGGTGGTTATTATGCCAGATTTTTGCGCTGAATAAACCTGCTGTATTATAAAAATTTTTTATAGCTGTATATTTGGAAGGTTTTTTTAAGTTTGTCCTGCTCATCGGCGCTGTAAACAAAATTGCCAAACTGACATCAATATTTTTCCTTTTGTCCTACATGGGTGTCAATATCGCCTGTCTAGCTCTAGAATTAACCAGCGCTCCGAATTTTAGGTAATCACTATTCAATTACAACTTCTTATGCTAAACAGGAAAAGTAAAGTTTTATATCTTGGTTTTTTATCAAGTATAGAGAATAAGCATTTTTTATTTAGCGCTAATTAAATACAGGCTCGAGGTGTTTCAATGATTTCAGGCCCACATTCAAATATTTTTCATGGCATACATGTGCTTTGGGTGTTATTTGTACTGCAGTGATGATGCTTGTTATCGACACAGCTATGAGTGCTATAGCAGTAATTGTCTTGATGTTCCTTATAATGATTCTTCATTACCAGGTCTTTTAAAATTTTTTACATTTTTTTGGTTACTGATTGACTTCAGTTGTCGAAGTGATACGGATATTGTATTCATCTAACCTTTTTTTTCAAGTTAAAGCATTTGAAGTATCCTGGGTTCTTAAATCTTTTAATTTGTGTATAATGACTTTAGGCACCAGCTGGTTCTTGGGGATCAATATCACAGGCACTTATTTATCATCAGGTGCGTAAATATCTTCTTCTTTTGGATGTTCGCAAGGAACATGTAAAGTGGGTATTATATTTCGTGACGTTTTTGGCTTATTTTATACTATTTTGGAAATTTGCTTTCTTGCTTTACATGACAATACTATTACTCTACTTAATAGGTACTGGAGACCACAAATCTTGCTTTTGATAAGCAGACCAGCTTGTAGCACACCTCTTATGGATTTTGTAAATGATCTGAAGAAAAGTGGGCTGTACGTGATTGGGCACGTCAAGAGAGGTTCTATGGATGAAAGCACGCATGATCCTTTACAACAAGTATTTTCTGTTTATTCATTGCTGGTTGCTCCACAGGACGTATCAGCAAGCATTTGCTTTGGTTTCGTTTGAAATCTCGAGAAAAAAGTCAAATTTAAAGTTTTAGGTTTTCCCTTACTGGCTTTCGTTGGTAGATTATCTAAGGTTAAAAGCGTTCGTGGAGTTAACTGTTGCGAGAACTGTTCGAGATGGAGCACAACAGGTTTCATCGTCTTGTATATTAATTGTTGTAAAGTTGTTTACTAAATATGATTTGATTTCTCGCATTTTAGCTGCTTCGTCTGTCAGGACTAGGTGCAATGAAACCAAATACCGTTGTACTTGGATTTCATGAACAAACAGCGCCAGAAACAGTCCTTGCTGAGTCTCATCTCCTTAAGGACCTGAAGTTTTCTAGGATTGACCGTACAGAAGTTGTTGAGTATTTTACTGCTGCTGATTATATGCCACGGGTATTACTTCATCATTAAGTTTTCTTATTTAATTTCTTTGTATTTTTCTTTCCAGATGGAATCTTATCTTTTAGGAATTAAATGGTTCTTGTGAAAGGTTGTCCAGTGAAGAATACGTTTGTATATTGAACGATATCCTTCATGTGAATAAAAACCTCTGTGTGGCGAGACATTTCCACCGTTTAGATAAGGAATCGTTAAGGTGGCTATTTAGAGCTTTTGATGAAGTGTTGTCGTTTGTGTATTGAACTGTGGTGTTTTATGGGTTTGAAATGTTGGTTGCAGAACTTGGAATAGTGATAAACGAACGATAGATGTCTGGCCTGTTTGTCTTCAAAAGCCGGGAGAAACAGGTTTAGGCTGGGGTAATAGGTAACAGTGTTGTTAATTTGCTTTCGATATTTTTTTTTTTAATTGATCGTTTTGACGTAATCTGTTAGATTTTAGCTCGCTCTTCTTGTTGCAACTCGCTTGTATACTTTCTATGAGTTCACGTTGGCGTTCATGCACCGTTTTACGTGTTTTTATCTGTGTTAACAGTCTACAGGTATGTTTGGTTTCCTGTAATTAATAGGTTCCAAAAAGTTTTGGAGCGCTAATTCTTATCTGAAGCAATTGAGTTTTCTTTTTCTATTTTTCTGCCCTCATCAAATTACTTAAAAGTTTCTATTTTATCTAAGGACATGCAACGTCGTGAAAGGCAGTTGAAGCAGATGTTAACCACGTTACGAATTAAAGCTAGGTCACAAGTGATGCCTTGGGATCATGTAGTTTGCCATCTCGGTGATGATACTCCTTCTGCTCCTCCAAGGTTAAGCAGCTTCAGTTTAACTGGTCTTCGACGGTTACTCACTTTTTATGCTGCTTGTCGAATGCAGCACTTCAAAAACAGCAATGCAGTTTTATTAGTTAATGATTGGACTCTAAAAAACTTTAAACTTTTTTTTCTCAGCTTGGCTATGTTAGAACTTAGTTCAATAATTATTTGAGGCAGTTATATAGTCGTTCGACTCTTTTTGTTGGATAATGGACAAAAACTTAGTTTTTAACAAGCGTAAAGTTTCACGAAAAATCTTACTGAAGTGCTTTTTTGCAGTGTCGGTAATGCTGCAAAGGCACTCATCAAAAATGTTAGGGCTCATTTTTTACATACTTCTGTGTGTCTGTTTGTTTTCTTAATGTGCTGGCTGAAGCAGCTTTTTAAAACTAGTTTAGGAATTTTTGCAATTAAGGAGTATTGTTTTTGAATTATTCATGCACATTCTTGCATTCACTTTTTGGAAGTCTGTTTTGCATGAATGCAGCCTTTTACAGAAGGCTGTGGAACTTGCGGAATGCTTTGACTGCATTCAGCTGTAGAAATTTTACTAGGTACCTTGATGTTTTTTAGTAAAAAGTGCAATCCATATTTGAGTAGCTAGGTTTTGGAGAAATCGGGAAATGCGTCCAGCAGTGTTTCAAGGTGGAGAATTTGGTCAAGGCGATGCATTGAGAATTTAGAGGCCTTCGTCAGTCTTTTTAGTCAGATGATTTTTGAAGAGGGTCTTGAATATTCGCTTTGCTGTATATTTTCTTGAAAAAGTTGTTTTTGTGCCTAAATTTGTTTCAACGCAGATTCTAGGCAGTATGTACAGTTGAAGAAATAGGAAAAAGCTTCATTTACTATTACCCATAGCTAACTAGTGCGATGGTTGTTGGTTTTGAAATTCTTATTAACTCTAAATTGTACTCCTAGATGTACTTCTAGAAGTCTTACAAATTATAAAGGGTCCTGCAGTCATGGCCATTTGAAAACTTCATTGTTAAAAGCCGAAACTATTAGTAAAGTGTGTAAAAAATGCAAGGGCTGCTCTAGCTCGCAATTCACCTCTGAAAGCATGCTGCTCTGTAACTGGTAAACACTACTTGAACAACCATTTGATCCATCTATAGATCATCTTTCCAGTTATATAGTTACTGAAAAGCCAGTTTTTGCTAACTTTTGTCTTTTGCCTACTGGATAGCAAATGAATTTATTTGGTGTTTTTTCCAATTTTCTGTTTTTCAATAGTTTTTATTTTTTTTTCACATGTATAATTAATATTTGTTTTAAGAGAGTCCGTTGATCTACCACTTCCATATTTAAGTGGAATGAATGATCTTATCAAGAAAAACAGTGGAGAAGCCGCTATCTGCTTACTCGATTTGCCGGTACCACCTGCTGATGTAAGTTACAGTCCTTTTTTTGCTTAGAACGTCTAAAACGCAGTGAAACTTAGATTTCTATTTAGGCTTCGTTAAGCGAATCTTATCTGAGCGTAATTCGAACGCTAACAGACGGCCTTCCTCCAACGTTACTAGTTCATGGACTTTCTTCTGTTATATCTACTGCACTGTAGTAATTAATTTTTCGTCTAATATTTTATGAGACTGATTACTTCCAGTTATGTTCGGATTGTTGATTAACTTTTTATAACAAACTGACAAATTATCCAGTGCTCTAGAATTAAATTGGAGATATTAATGCATGGTATGCGCAGGACGCTTTCATTTTTAATTTATTTGAGTACTTTTTGCTGTAAATATTTATTTTTTCTCTGCATTTGTTTAGTATTTTCAGTTTTTTTTTGTCACTAAAACGTGCATCATATTAGTTTGCTCTGGATTCTGGAGAGAAATCCTTGAGGTTCTTTTACAGAATTTCTTAGCAGCCCCGGTTTTTCTAATATATGTCGCTTTGCTATGTTGAATACTTA